AGGGAGGGGTGAAGCAGAACAGGATGTTCTCTCTTCAAGGGAGGGGTGAAGCAGAACAGGATGTTCTCTATTATAGGAAGGGGTGTAGCAGAACAGGGTGTTTTCTCTTCTAGGGAGGGGTAAGGCAGAACAGGGTGTTTCTCTTCTAGGGAGGGGTGAAGCAGAACACGATGTTCTGTCTTGTAGGGAAGGGTGAAGCAGAACAGAGTATTCTGTCTTCTAGGGAGGGGTGAAACAGAACAGGATGTTTTCTCTTCAAGGGAGGGGTGAAGCAGAACAGGGTGTTCTCTCTTCAAGGGAGGGGTGAAGCAGAACAGGGTGTTTCTCTTCTAGGGAGGGATGAAGCAGAACAGGATGTTCTCTCTTCAAGGAAAGGGTGAAGTAGAACAGGGTGTTCTCTCTTCAAGGGAGGGGTGAAGCAGAACAGGGTGTTCTGTCTTCTAGGGAGGGGTGAAGCAGAACACGATGTTCTCTCTTCTAGGGAGGGGTGAAGCAGAACAGGGTGTTTTCTCTTCTAGGGAGGGGTGAAGCAGAACAGGATGTTCTCTCTTCTAGGGAGGGGTGAAGCAGAACAGGGTGTTCTCTCTTCAAGGGAGGGGTGAAGCAGAACAGGATGTTCTGTCTTGTAGGGAGGGGTGAAGCAGAACAGGGTGTTTTCTCTTCTAGGGAGGGGTGAAGCAGAACAGAGTATTCTGCCTTCTATGGAGGGGTGAAACAGAACAGGGTGTTCTCTCTTCAAGGGAGGGGTGAAGCAGAACAGGATGTTCTGTCTTGTAGGGAGAGGTGAAGCAGAACAGGGTGTTTTCTCTTCTAGGGAGGGGTGAAGCAGAACAGAGTATTCTGTCTTCTAGGGAGGGGTGAAACAGAACAGGGTGTTCTCTCTGTAAGGGAGGGGTGAAGCAGAACAGGGTGTTCTCTCTTCAAGGGAGGGGTGAAGCAGAACAGGGTGTTTTCTCTTCTAGGGAGGGGTGAAGCAGAACAGGGTGTTCTCTCTTCTAGGGAGGGGTGAAGCAGAACAGGGTGTTTTCTCTTCTAGGGAGGGGTGAAGCAGAACAGGATGTTCTCTCTTCTAGGGAGGGGTGAAGCAGAACAGGGTGTTCTCTCTTCAAGGGAGGGGTGAAGCAGAACAGGATGTTCTGTCTTGTAGGGAGGGGTGAAGCAGAACAGGGTGTTTTCTCTTCTAGGGAGGGGTGAAGCAGAACAGAGAATTCTGTCTTCTAGGGAGGGGTGAAACAGAACAGGGTGTTCTCTCTTCAAGGGAGGGGTGAAGCAGAACAGGGTGTTTCTCTTCTAGGGAGGGGTGAAGCAGAACAGGATGTTCTCTCTTCAAGGAAGGGGTGAAGCAGAACAGGGTGTTCTCTCTTCAAGGGAGGGGTGAAGCAGAACAGGTTGTTTTCTCTTCTAGGGAGGGGTGAAGCAGAACAGGGTGTTCTGTCTTCTAGGGAGGGGTGAAGCAGAACAGGATGTTCTGTCTTCTAGGGAGGGGTGAAGCAGAACAGGGTGTTCTGTCTTCTAGGGAGGGGTGAAGCAGAACAGGATGTTCTCTCTTCTAGGGAGGGGTGAAGCAGAACCGGGTGTTTTCTCTTCTAGGGAGGGGTGAAGCAGAACAGGATGTTCTCTCTTCTAGGGAGGGGTGAAGCAAAACAGGGTGTTCTGTCTTCTAGGGAGGGGTGAAGCAGAACAGGATGTTCTGTCTTGTAGGGAGGGGTGAAGCAGAACAGGATGTTCTGTCTTGTAGGGAGGGGTGAAGCAGAACAGGATGTTCTCTCTTCAAGGAAGGGGTGAGCAGAACAGGGTGTTCTCTCTTTAAGGGAGGGGTGAAGCAGAACAGGGTGTTTTCTCTTCTAGGGAGGGGTTGAGCAGAACAGGATGTTCTCTCTTTAAGGGAGGGGTGAAGCAGAACAGGGTGTTCTCTCTTCAAGGGAGGGGTGAAGCAGAACAGGATGTTCTCTATTCTAGGGAGGGGTGAAGCAGAACAGGATATTCTCCATTTTAGGAAGGGGTGTAGCAGAACAGGGTTTTTTCTCTTCTAGGGAGGGGTGAAGCAGAACAGGATGTTCTCTCTTCAAGGGAGGGGTGAAGCAGAACAGGATGTTCTCTTTTCTAGGGAGGGGTGAAGCAGAACAGGGTGTTCCTTTCTAGGGAGGGGTGAAACAGAACAGGGTGTTATCTCTTCAAGGGAGGGGTGAAGCAGAACAGGATGTTCTCTCTTCTAGGGAGGGGTGAAGCAAAACAGGGTGTTTTCTTTTCAAGGGAGGGGTGAAGCAGAACAGGATGCTTTCTCTTTAAGGGAGGAGTGGAGCAGAACAGGATGTTCTCTCTTCAAGGGAGGGGTGAAGCAGAACAGGGTGTTCTCTCTTCAAGGGAAGAGTGAAGCAGAACAGGGTGTTCTCTCTTCAAGGGAGGGGTAAAGTAGAACATGGTGTTCTTTCTTCAAGGGAGGGGTGAAGCAGAACATGGTGTTTTCTCTTCAAGGGAGGGGTGAAGCAGAACAGGATGTTCTCTATTCTAGGGAGGGGTGAAGCAGAACAGGATATTCTCCATTATAGGAAGGGGTGTAGCAGAACAGGGTGTTTTCTCTTTTAGGTAGGGGTGAAGCAGAACAGGATGTTCTCTCTTCAAGGGAGGGGTGAAGCAGAACAGGATGTTCTCTTTTCTAGGGAGGGGTGAAGCAGAACAGGGTGTTCCTTTCTAGGGAGGGGTGAAGCAGAGCAGGGTGTTTTCTCTTCAAGGGAGGGGTGAAGCTGAACAGGATGTTCTCTCTTCTAGGGAGGGGTGAAGCAGAACAGGGTGTTTTCTTTTCAAGGGAGGGGTGAAGCGGAACAGGTTGCTTTCTCTTCAAGGGAGGGGTGGAGCAGAACAGGATGTTCTCTCTTCAAGGGAGGGGTGAAACAGAACAGGGTGTTCTCTCTTCAAGGGAAGAGTGAAGCAGAACAGGGTTTTCTCTCTTCAAGAATGGGTAAAGTAGAACATGGTGTTCTTTCTTCAAGGGAGGGGTGAAGCAGAACATGGTGTTTTCTCTTTAAGGGAGGGGTGAAGCAGAACAGGATGTTCTCTATTATAGGAAGGGGTGTAGCAGAACAGGGTGTTTTCTCTTCTAGGGAGGGGTGAAGCAGAACAGGATGTTCTCTCTTCAAGGGAGGGGTGAAGCAGAACAGGATGTTCTTTTTTCTAGGGAGGGGTGAAGCAGAACAGGGTGTTCCTTTCTAGGGAGGGGTGAAGCAGAACAGGGTGTTTTCTCTTCAAGGGAGGGGTGAAGCAGAACAGGATGTTCTCTCTCCTAGGGAGGGGTGAAGCAGAACAGGGTGTTTTCTTTTCAAGGGAGGGGTGAAGCATAACAGGGTGTTTTCTTTTCAAGGGAGGGGTGAAGCAGAGCAGGATGTTCTCTCTTCAAGGGAGGGGTGAAGCAGAATAGGTTGTTCTTTTCTCAAGGAAGGGGTGAAGCAGAACAGGGTGGTCTCTCTTCTAGGGAGGGGTGAAGCAGAACAGGGTGTTCTCTCTTCAAGGTAGGGGTGAAGCAGAACAGGGTGTTTCTCTTCTAGGGAGGGGTGAAGCAGAACAGGATGTTCTCTCTTCAAGGAAGGGGTGAAGCAGAACAGGGTGTTTTCTCTTCTAGGGAGGATTGAAGCAGAACAGGATGTTCTGTCTTGTAGGGAGGGGTGAAGCAGAACAGGGTGTTTTCTCTTCTAGGGAGGGGTGAAGCAGAACAGAGTATTCTGTCTTCTAGAGAGGGGTGAAACAGAACAGGGTGTTCTCTCTTCAAGGGAGGGGTGAAGCAGAACAGGGTGTTTTCTCTTCTAGGGAGGGGTGAAGCAGAACAGGATGTTTTATTATAGGAAGGGGTGTAGCAGAACAGGGTGTTTTCTCTTCTAGGGAGGGGTGAAGCAGAACAGGATGTTCTCTCTTCAAGGGAGGGGTGAAGCAGAACAGGATGTTCTTTTTTCTAGGGAGGGGTGAAGCAGAACAGGGTGTTCCTTTCTAGGGAGGGGTGAAGCAGAACAGGGTGTTTTCTCTTCAAGGGAGGGGTGAAGCAGAACAGGATGTTCTCTCTCCTAGGGAGGGGTGAAGCAGAACAGGGTGTTTTCTTTTCAAGGGAGGGGTGAAGCAGAACAGGGTGTTTTCTTTTCAAGGGAGGGGTGAAGCAGAGCAGGATGTTCTCTCTTCAAGGGAGGGGTGAAGCAGAATAGGTTGTTCTTTTCCCAAGGAAGGGGTGAAGCAGAACAGGGTGGCCTCTCTTCTAGGGAGGGGTGAAGCAGAACAGGGTGTTCTCTCTTCAAGGTAGGGGTGAAGCAGAACAGGGTGTTTCTCTTCTAGGGAGGGGTGAAGCAGAACAGGATGTTCTCTCTTCAAGGAAGGGGTGAAGCAGAACAGGGTGTTTTCTCTTCTAGGGAGGGGTGAAGCAGAACAGGATGTTCTGTCTTGTAGGGAGGGGTGAAGCAGAACAGGGTGTTTTCTCTTCTAGGGAGGGGTGAAGCAGAACAGAGTATTCTGTCTTCTAGAGAGGGGTGAAACAGAACAGGGTGTTCTCTCTTCAAGGGAGGGGTGAAGCAGAACAGGGTGTTTTCTCTTCTAGGGAGGGGTGAAGCAGAACAGGGTGTTCTGTCTTCTAGGGAGGGGTAAAGCAGAACAGGGTGTTCTCTCTTCAAGGGAGGTGTGAATATTAGGACACCGCTAACTTTTAAATTTCACAGATAGGACATACATGACATATTTATAATTCCTGCAAAGTCCTACAGAATTTGAGGTTGGCTGCAAAGGGACATAGTACCTTTAAGAAGTGCCGTCATTGTAATTGTATCCCCCAACAATATGCCGATGGGGTACTTTGAACGGATTTCTTTCAAATGTTGTATGAAGGTGTGTCTTAGTAAAAATCTGCACATCTTTAGTGTTTGGTGATACTGCCACCTGTGTTCCGTCTGTTATAGGGTCAAAGGTCATATTTTGGTGGCTGTCTTTTGTGCGCTCTAACTACCACATTTCTTTCAAATTTTCTACAGAGATTTCTCTAATCTTTACACATAATGTTTTGGTAATGCTGCTCCTAGTCTTGACAATAGTCTGAGCCACTAATGGCGATCTCTCCGTCATCCTTTTGTTTCAGGGAGGGGAGAGGGGATTTTTTTCCCTCCCCGAAACATAAGGATGACACAAAATCGCTGCCACTGCCGGGGGATACATTGGCATTGCGCGGCAATACAGATTGCGATACTTTCGAGTTCACTAATGCACTCAAAAACATGAAGGTATCATTAATCCAGCTATAGATTGGGATTAGTCTGTAACTTAATGTGCTGAGCTAATCTCCAGTTTTGTAATGGAATTATGTTTTAAGAGATACTTTTGAAATTAATCCTGTATTGTTTATCATGCAGTAGATGGATTGTTTGAACCAGAAAAATGTAAAGAAATGAACAGAAATGTGCCAGCGGACTCTAGGTACAATAGATTCATTTATGTATGAGGTAAGATTTAAGAACACCCAAGTATTTCAACTGCTTTATGATTCAATAATGATATGATTGTGTCTAAGGTCAACATTTTCAGTTTTCTTTAAATCATGTTTAGGTGAGTTCACAGAAGGGTCTGATTAGCTCTTTGACAGAGGAGCTTGAAAATACACAAACAGACAAGTTAATGCTAGGTAGTAGTAGTAGTAGCTGTCTGTCGCGAAGCGACAATGACCGCCTTCATTTTCACTTTACAGCTGTTCTCCATACAGCTCGCTGGCCTGCAGCAGTTGTCCAAGTCTTGGTTTCAATTTGCCTCCGCTTAAGGTTCCTCTTGATCGTGTCCTTGTAGCGAAGCCGTGGACGACCAATCCCTCTTTCGCCAGCGGGTAGTTGCGAGAATAGTACTTGCTTTGGTAACCTCTCAGAGGGCATCCTGATGACATGGCCTGTCCATCGAAGGTTCTTCCTGATGAGCAGGTCCTCCATAGAAGGAAGGTTTGCTCGCTCTAGTACCTCTTTGTTGGTCATCTTGTCCTCCCAACTGATTCTCATGATTGCTCGAAGGTGTCTCATCATGAACGCGTGAAGTTTCTTTACTTGACTTGTGTAGAGAGTCCAGCTTTCCGCACCGTATAAGAGAGTGGATAGGACGATAGCCCTGTAGATTTTGCACTTCACTCTTGTTGAGACATGATGGTTGTTCCATAGCCTGGTTCGCAGTCTTCCAAAGGCACTGCTGGCCTTTGACATTCTTTTCACCAGCTCAGAGTCGATGCGTCCGTCTTTGGATATAGTGCTGCCGAGGTAAGTGAAGTCATCTACCTGGTTTAGGGCTGTCCCATCCACTAGGATCTCCTCCTCCTCTAGGTGGTCTGTACCTGGTTGGAATAGTACTTCAGTCTTTTTGATGTTTATTTGTAGACCGAACTTCTTTGATGCTGATGAAAATACATCTATAACATGTTGCATCTGCTCTGGTGTATGAGAAACAAGAGCACTGTCATCTGCAAAGAGGAGTTCCCTCACGAGAATCTGTGTAGACTTCGTCTTAGCTTTGAAGTGTGCGACATTGAATAGGTCGGCGTCTTGACGTGATTGTATGTAAACGCCTTCCTCATTTTCAGTTTTCTTTAAATCATGTTTAGGTGAGTTCACAGAAGGGTCTGATTAGCTCTTTGACAGAGGAGCTTGAAAATACACAAACAGACAAGTTAATGCTAGGTAAGTTACTCACTAAATGGATATGATCATTGAATTAAATGAAGCAGTGGCCAAATGCTAGATGGAAGAACACATTAATCCCCTTTCCTGTCACTTTAACAATCACTTGACCTGGCCTGAGTAAATACTCCAGTGTTTGTACTGTTTTCATGTTCCAGACAATCTCAATGAAGTGTGAAGTCAGGTAGTGAATTTTCCCTCATAAGGATTCTGTGATATGAATTCATTTGTACACTATTGGGGCGTTGCAAGACAGTTGCAAACCAGTTGCAAATCCCCTAAATCAAGCGTAAGTCTTGCAATTGATCGCAACTCAACTTTCTTGCAACGCCCCATCAGTAAGAGAGATAGAGAGAGGGAGGAAAGAATAAAAGCTAGATCTAGTTAACTTTATTTAATTGTTAAAACTGTAATCCTAACAAAATCCTAGGAAATTTAGGAGACTAGTGGGGCTTTGCAAGAAAGTTGAGTTGCAATCGATTGCAAATATCAGTTGCAAATTTTGCTACTTGCAATCAATCACAACTTTATTGCAACGCCCCATATGATTTATAGAAAATGAAAAATGCTTTGATGTTTTGTTACATTGTTATCGTCTTGTAATTGTAGAGAAAAGCTTTCTGGAGCACAGGATAGCAGCCATTAAATCAGGATACTACCAGAGGCACTCTATTGATGAGCCAAGTAAGTAGGGTTACACAAACATGTAAATGCAGCATGAAGAGAAGAGAAAAGGTCCCTTCAATCATTCTGAACACACCACACAGGTTATGTTGGGGGAGGCAGTTTGTTGGGGGAAACCTTGCAAATGTCAAAATATCTTTGCATTTACTGGTTTCTTAGATTGAATAAGCTTCAGTAATTTATAATTGCCAGACATCGTCTTTTAGTTCATCTTGGGTATTAATTCTTTACCACCATGTGTGACATATAATATACATGTATATATGTCAAAAACAATACAAACCTTGCTTACATGTTGATTCTATCAAATCCAAGATGATATCAAATAATACACATATAACTAATCAAGAGAGAAAATGGTGCTAAGGTAGCGACTTCAATGCTAGATGTACAATTAAAGATAATCTGAAAGTTTGAATGAAAACTGACCATTATTAATGATAAAAAACTTATCTGATCGATTCCTAAATCCTCCCAACTATATTATTACAATTTAAATACATTTTAGGTGAATGTAGATCTTCACAAATCGATGAATTGGCTCTTTATACCATTCCAAATATTTAAGTGTTAACAGATTTTTAAAAGCCTGTTTTATGTCTTATTTTCATGGAAAAACAGTTTGGAACATTCAAAAATTGGTTAGGAGAATTTACTGTAAGTGGGTGATGCACAGTGATGACCCCTTCAAAGAAAACAATAAGTATTTTTGTGGTTTGAGAATTCTTTTCAGAATTTGTGCAAACTAGAGGGTTAGTACAGTAGAAGGAACAATGTTCCAACAATGTTACCAGTTCACTTTAAGTATTGTATTTTTTATTCATCTTGGACTAGTTCCCTTTTTTTCTTTTTTCTTGTCCAATTTAGCATCACCAAACGGAAGCAGTAAAGAGTCCAAGACAAAGAATCATTGCACGATGGGTACCGACGGAGACGATGAGGCTGATGATGAGGATGAGGATGATCTTCATCATGACGGGGATGACGATGAGGAAGAGGAGGAGGAGGAGGAGGAGGATGATGAGGAAGAAGAGATTGATACAGAGACTCTCATCAAAGCACTGGAGGCTGAAGCGAGGAGCCTGAAAGGTAACATAGTCTTTACATAGTATATGCGACCTGACAACATAAAACCAGCAAAGCGCTGCAAATCTGACAACAGATTAAATGCCAAAAAAGTTGCTTTCCCTTGATAGATGTTATTGACTGCTGTTAAATGTGAAATTTAGGTGCGTTCTACTAGAGAATGTTATACGTCATTGTAAAGCTTGGAATCTCTAGTTTCAACAGCAAAAAAGAAAGAAAAGAAAAGAAAGAGAGAGAGAGAGAGAGAGAGAGAAGAATGAATTTCAGTGACTTCTTTGTAGTCTTGATGTTATTAAGTTCTATATGCATGGTACTTGGAATAATAATATTCCGCTTTGGTATTGTGCTTAATACAATGTCTCTAGCACTTGACAGATATACTATTACCCCGGTCATTGGATTCAGTGCTTGCCCACTCACACTGTGTGCTCGATCTCCATTCCCCGGGGAGCATTCCAGCCAGGCATTACTTGATGCTCATAAAATGTTTGACCAACAATGACGGCCGCATCCTACCGGGTTCCCATTTAACAACTGGGTGGAGAGTAGCAAGTGCAGGTTGATATCTTGCCAAAGGAAAAGTTATTATTTTCCACTTCCTGGCTATTCATTTTGTTATTTCCCTCATTTCTTTTTTTTAAGAATTAAAAAAATAAAACTAGTCTGGAAAGTTGGTAAGAAAATTGACCACTTTTTGTTGCTATGCGCTTTGACAACAAGTATGTAAGTCTAATGTTTGTAGGTTTAATTCATACGGAAACCTAACTTCCATGCATTATGACCTAGTAACGTCAAAAACATTTTGTGTAAGTTAGTTTCAGTATGAACTCAACAAGGTGAATGACTTGAGTGCGTATGTGTACCTTGAACTGTAGCTGTCATAGACTCATCAGGTATTCATCCATTATTCAGATTATTTATAAAAAAACCATGTATTCTTTGTGACTTGTCCTTGTAATGAACCCACTCTCAGGGTCAGTAGCTGTGTTCCTACTTCAAGGTTTCAACTTTTTAACACGTCTCTATTAAGTCTGAAAGAAGAGAAATGGAGGTTAACTCAGGCAAATTTGGTTTGTTGTACATGAGCATGTATATCATTAAGTATATCATTAAGCAATACATTATAATTGAATAACAAAAAATTTGGGTATCATTATAATGAGGAGGAATTTCAAAAGGAATCCCATACCATGTTTACCACACACAAATATCTTGCTGTCCATCTCCTTGTGGACATAATTTTCAATATTAGTTTTCAAAAGTGGTGTAGTACAATCAAGCAATCCTTAGATTTGAGTAATATATAGGTCTATTTGTGATTTTGGTTTTTTAGCATATTCTCTTTTAAGTTTGGTTGATTCATGAATAATGTAAGATGAATATCACAAATTGGTTTCAATGGGTCTTGTAAGAGTGCTAGATCTGTGGATAGTCCAGTTCTAAAAGTTTAGTTCATACAAAGCATTCCACAGCCTATCTTCAAGAAATCTTTTTTGTTTGTTCCAGAAGATTGATGGATCTAGAATGTGAACACAACCAGAGTTCCTTACAAGGGCCCCCGAGGAATAGAATGGAATTTGTGCCACAAGTTGTCTTACAATTAACCTTGATCATGTATTGAATGTGAAATTATGAATGAGTGTGCCAAGTCCTTCTAAAGCCAACTCTGAATATTGATGTGAAAGAGAAATAAATGTTGTCAGATAGGTCAATAAATTTTATTTTACTGCCGTTGAAATACAATTTGGTGTCATCACAGATGCCATTTTTCACCAGTTTTCTTGAATTAGAATATGAATCTGTCATACCATTTAGAAGTCTTCGGTATGGAAAGAATCGCACGTAAGCAGTCAGAAGTTTTTGGCGTATGAAAGCCCGACTCTATTCAACAGCTGAGAAATGGATTAAGGAGATATAGGAAATAAAGTTACAATGTTTATTGCAATTCATGTTGAGTTAAGTAACATGAGGCAAATTAGCTAGAATGACCTAGTCATTTGTCTGTACGTTGAACTCCCTAAACCCAATTCTTCGAGAAGAGTTGAAACCCTGTCCTACTTTTATTTCATGTTCTGGTATTCAGGTTACTTGTTCAAACCCATTACAACATTTATGAGATATTAATTGATCTGATTTATAAATTGGTTAAGAAATTGCTTACATGTAGCATTTCAGTCTTGTTCAATTGGCCCTCGTCATTTAGATAAGATCCTAGCAATAATAGACTCAAGATTATTGAATTAATGAAATGATTCATCAAGCACACCATGTACTCTGTTTCTTGCACGTAGGCAGGGTGGATGTAACTGAGAAAGGCCTAGTAAATGCTTAAAACAACAATGTCTGTAGTTCCTTGGTATTGTATTAAAAATCTCTGTCAAAGTATGATATATTACATGGAGAAAGATTCACTCCTCTTTATTAGAGCTTATCGATTGATTGATCAATTATCTTGCTGAGAAAGCAATTTTATGTATGCTTGTAAGTAACAGAGGACCTATGGCTATATAGGGCAGTGCATTGATCTCAAATCTATGATATGTTCCCATACCAAGACCAATGCTCTCTCTAGTGCTGTATCATTCTGGTTACTTCTCTGAACCAATTAAATTAACCCTTCATTAAAAAAAAGTAGACGGATTTTAGTCATTTTATAGAATAATCCATTTGAAAGAATTTCATAAATCCAGAAATATTCAAAAAATGTGCTTTTAACATAGTATATAAACAGTTGAAATCCATGAGGTCATAAATATTGGGGACAGTGTGGATATGTTGTTGCAAGTATACATGCAACTAATGGTGCTCTAAAATGACAAAAAATAGGTAACTGAAACCAGAAATTAGAAATGGTTTGGGCTGAGGATTTGGTAATAGCTAAGTCACACAGTCAGACTGACTGATTCTTAGCCTTGGGAGGTAATGTCATTGTTTGATCGATCTGTTGTCGGTCTGATGCCGGTCTGATGTCGTTCTCGTTGATGTGACTGAGGTATAACAGACAATTAACCTTTGTATATAGTACCAGCTCTATCTGCTTTGGCATACTGCCATCTTTTGATGAAATCAGTATGAGTGAAACTAACAATTTGTTAGATTTCAAGCAAATGTTCTTTGGTAATAATGTTATTTCTTCTCTCTCTCTCTCTCTCTCTCTCTTCTCGCCTTCTCTTTCTTTATATTTATTAGGAAGAAGACAGAGTTTTGATATCGGAGGGCTGGTTGAGGAACGTGAGATTGCCGAGCGCTTTGAATCCGAGATGATCGACAACCCTCGACCAGGAGCGAGATGTCATGTGACCAAAGTAACCATGGTAAGTAGTCACATGACCAGACATCTAATATGCCAATGTGCAGGGAGTACTGCTGGTATAATAAATCTCCGTTAATGCAAGCTTGACCAAGATATGTTTTATTTTTATTTTCAACTGTTCAGTCATGAGAGAATTTTTTTACAAGAATTAAAAAAATGTTTGGCCAGGGGGGTTAGACCACCCTGCAAGGTCACTGACAGGTGGTAATCTCATCAAAGCAGCTCTCAATTAACATAAGAAGAAGGTGATCATGGGGACCAATGGGCACCGCTTAGGCATTGTTTTCTATATAGAGGGAGCAAGTAGCTACAAGTAGTAGAATGAGGCTTTAAAGCCATGTACTAGAAGTACTACCGAACAATCCCCTCTTACGCCATCTCGGGTCAGCTGTAACAGTATGTGCCATAACCTCGCTGCTTCCCTAGCTATGATGTTGGTTCTTGCATCAAGTCCTCTGCAAAGCTGAAGTTAGGTATTGGGATATGCACCATTGGCAAGTTGACCATGAGATGCCACTGTGCAATAAACAGTACACTGGGGCACAAAGTTCATGAGTTCAGTATCCCCATAATAGCCAGTCCTTGAAGTGCCTTGTTGTGGTACTCCTTTATCATGTCTTCCCTGGCAAAATGGGATCACAGCTTTAAGCCTGCATGCCCAATCCAGTCCAGGAATTTGTTGACTAATTAGAGGCACTGATGAGACTAAAAAACTACTGAATATGCCATCCGTGATTCACCTGGGATAGGCTGGGGTAGTGGCTAGTTGTACGGTATTCAATGTGGAATAAGCATTCATCTGAGACTTTATTATTTGTCTTGTATTTTTCCTACTTTATTTGTCTTGTAGTTTTCCTACTTTATTTGTAGAAAACCTTTTTTCTTTTCTTCATAGAACTCCATTGACCACTTTATTGGATAACTTGTTTAGCTCAAGGCTAATCTGCTACAAGGTCTGTCAGTGTTTTGGGAGTTCTTATCTGTCGAAACTTGTGAAGACGAAAATAAGCGATTTCTATTGCAGTTAAGTTTCAGACATTTTAAAATCTTAAATTCCTCTTTGTGAAAGAGTGCTGTCAATTTGTTTTTAGAATTTCGTTAATATAAAGTGTCACATGTACTTCAACAGTTTTATCAGTGAGAACTTCACACGTATCCATTCCAGATCAAATAGAAAATGTTATGCTTTGTTCTCATGTTAATGGTGAAAACCACAACAAGTCAAGAGCATTTACCACTATACCGCAGAGCTACAATACACCAGGCTCTTTGTTCCTGTTGAATGGATTATCTAATAAAATAAAGTTGAACAAATTTTCACTATATTTTACTTTCTAGCTCACCTGGTTCTGTCCTTTAAATGCAAGCCAAGTGTTTGTTTGAGGATTAGATACCGGTGTTTATATTTCTTGGTTCACCCTGAGGGTCCAGAAATAGTCTACGATGCTTTCCTGTAATTCTTAGTAGTTGCAACATGGAGCCTGACCAATCTTAAAGGGATTGTTTAATAATGTTAAATCTGAGATGCACAGCCCTACGTGTTATCAGTGTTTGTGATATGGTGCAATATTGAAGCCCTCAAAAAATTGCGCTTCAAAATGATCAAGAAGTGCCTCTAAAAAGTAAAAATCTTTGAGTGACCGGTTTTTCCCCAATAGACTGTAGTGTTTTGAAAACCGTTAGGAAAACGCAAAATTTGGTTTTGATTTCCAATGATAAGTATCTTGATAATCAGACAGGCGATCGGCTTGTAAAAGTAATGGGGTTCCTGACTGACCTAAAGGTTTAAAATTATCATGAGCTAAATCCAGGAATTTGTTTCAGAATCTGAGACAAAGTTACCAGATCCCTTTAATACATACTTCTTTCCTCAGTAATATGATATGATTTACCTATGTTATGAGCTTTATGCTTTTCTTCACATTCTGTAAGTTAGTAAGCACGATGGTCCTTTTTTTTTTAGCGTCTCTACATAATCAATATTATTTTTTATTTATTATCTAGATGCTACTGAATTCCATATTCCAGGGTCAACATCAAACGTGGCCATTTCACCCACTGTATGTCTTTCATTCATAGGTTTTTCTCCAAAGTTTGGAAGTGTGGGAAAAGAATTCTGATGCTTCACAGATAAAAACCATGGCAATAGCGGAGGCCGGAGGGAGCATTCAACAAAAATCGTCCAAACTAAAAATTTAAGAAAAAAAAACAGATTCAGCAAAATATGCACAAGTTGATATACCGGTAGTAAACTTGCTGGGAAAAGCACAACTCATATTTGGACATCGGCGGAACTACTAGCTCAAATACCTAGTCTTTCTCATTTATTTGTAGTCGTTGGCATTTAGTCTCACCTTAGCTTTGGTTCTGTGAGAATCATTTTCCTTCATTATTTCAATAATACAGACTACCTTTAACCGCATTCATGTAAGTCTACTCAGTAGCAATAGAAAACAAGGTGCTCGCCCACGCATACTGAGTTCTAGCAAGTAACTCCATATACCATGCTACAACATTCATGTTGCTTTCCCTTTCATTATCCAGGCTCACGTGAGAGATCTGGTTTCCATATTTGGACAAAGCTATTCTGAGCTTGCGTGCGTAGCTTGCACACTTTCTGTTTCTCTCATTGTGTATGGACTTGGTTTACCGTGGAATTTCACTTCCATGTCTCCTTTTCTTCTCCTAACCAAATGTTAAAGGTACAAGTGGAATCGGGCTTCATCATGTCTTTCTGTTTTCCCAAAGTCCCTGAATACCTTTCTTTCCAACCATTAAATCAATCAATGTATGGCTGGGAGTATGAATAGTTATTATCTTAAGTTACCCATACTTATGTTCATTTAGTGCTAATATGACCGGAGTGTTGGCTCAGTCAGTCGAACCCCGGCCGCGTCATACCAAAAGACGTTAAAAGATGGGAATTGTTGCTACCATGTTTTGCGTTCAACAATAAGGGATAGAGTAACGTCGATCTGGCGCTGCTCAGTGGATGCCGGGCTCACGATCAATTGGGCAAAAAGAATTTCCGTTTCGGTTTTAAAAAAATTTGGAGTGAACAATTAAGCTATGATTATTATTATTATTATTATTATTGTGTTGTATTGATTTATAATATCTATGGAAAACACTTTAACGCAATAAAATAAAATTTATGAAAACAAATGAAAAAACAGATTTTAACAAACCTTCACCACCGAAGTGACATATATATACATGTATATGCTGCCAAATGATTTTGGTAGAACCCATATAATAGTAATAAGTCAATGAAGATAAGAATATAAGGAGAATAGCCTAATAATTCTATCCCCATTTGTATAAAAACCATCTTAGACTTGAATGTGAAAGGTTGAGCTGTTTATTTTGGTTAATGTGATTTCCAGCACACTTACATGAATTTATTTATAACTTGTTGATCCAAACAGCTTGTCTGCTGCATAAATACCCAAAATAGAACGGCTTTAATTCAGTTTCTCTCGTAATGCAATTCCATTACATGAAATAAGCTTTAAATGCAAAGTTATTTTAGGAGGATCTGACTCTCGCCTTTAAAAAGGTTGTGTAAATTTGATGGAATGCTTTTGGGTAACCTGATTTACTCACTTACGCACACTCGAACAATGGAGAGGTTTGATTGATGCAATAATGAAAGTCCTTGTACTCTGTTTTGTGACATGCAGCCAAAAGGCTGCTTGAACTGCCCCTGATTTACAGATTTGAAACCCATCACTATATCCTAAATTGTACATGTTTGTATACAAACGTGTGAAGTTTCATGACTCTCTTCTCTTCCAAGTCTAGTATTAAAAACACATTTATAGAAATACAGGATTGAGTAAGGCAATATCATGTCAGCACAATGGTATTTACATGTACTTGTCCACTATTTTCCCCTTGAACTTTAACTGCATGTAAATGATGGATACCTCTTCGATTTTCACTGAGTGATGTTACCATTGTTCATTCGGGTAAATTGCTTGTCATCATGGAATGCTCAAATATGAAAAAGGCATGTCTGCCACTCAGAGAATTCAGCAATTGTTTGTGTTTCGTATTGCAAACTATAAAACAACATTCTCTACAATTTCTATCTTTTGCCAAATAAAGCTTTTAAAAATTGTTTTAGTTTCTCTGTGATGAAAATTTTATTTCCAAAAATCGTGCTTCATACAGGTTAAGTCAACAGATTAACAATTTCTTATGTAGATTGATTTGTCCTGTTACTAGATTGATTCAGATTAATGTGGTTAAAATATTCCCTTAGTTTATACAAAGTGTTTCCACATGTTTGTTTTATGAAGATTTATTTCTTTCTGTTTGTATAAATGTAAATGTGCAAGGAAACTGATTTACCTTCCTTTTCTTTTCTTTTTAATAATAAAAAAAATGCTCAGACAGAGGTCTATGGACTTTCTAGTATCTGTTTTGATAATATAAACACTGTTCTGTAAAATGTTCAGATTTTTCCTTTTTTAATGTGATTGATTTTAACTTGTAGTGGACCACACACACTCATACAGGTATACACACCCACACATAATTGGATGCCCTATATGACACTGTTAGCTTGTTCTACATGTGCAATAAAGACTCCTTTTTAATGTGTTAGCTGTCAGACTATAATGCCATCTGCTCTTCTAAGAAATTATTATTAAATTATAGTGCATGTTAAAAGAAACCTTTTTACAAGTTGACTAAGCGGTATGTCAAGAATTTGCCATGATTTTTAACGATTTCTGCTTCAGATTATTCAGAAACTTTCAGTGTAAAGTCCGTTATTTTATTTTCTGCGACATTTAGACAGTTAACATTGGTCTGTTGTTAAGTCCCTGTAACAAAGTGGTTCATACTCATATCTGTTCACTGTTCAAACATAAGGTCCCAAGTTCAAATCACAGCATGTAGTTATACTTAAAACAAAGCATTTGTGTTAATTTTGTGTCTCTTTCTCCCTCAACTTACGTAAATGTAGGAAATGGGATTAGGGTAGGATTAAAAGACATTTACTAAACTTGGTCGAAACCCAACATAAATTTTACTGAATTTCGGACTGTCAAGTGAATAGTGACAACATATTAAAAGTTGAATAAGATATTTATTGGGTTATTTTGAGTCACAGGACACAAGTCTGTAATTCATAGCTTTATTTGAGGGAACCAGGGCAAAAGCACTCTGCTTTCCTGGAATTAAGATAAATGAGAGATCCTGATTTGCAATATGAGAATAGAGGATTTGTGATATTAAATGGTGAAGTAGTACCTGTGTTTTTTTTCTTCACAGATGTCATTTTACTCCAATCACTGATTTTTATGATTAGCCCTAACTGTTTTGATAACTTATTAGATATATGTCATTTACTTGTTTTCAAGCTGAAATGTAATTGTTTGTGTTAAAAGCTTTCAAACAGCAGTCTCCAAATATGATTGATGGTAACTAAACTTAAGGATCTTATTACCGGTATAATCTGCTGCTCATGGCATTTAAATGATTAATACAATACTACCATGGTAACATTAAAGACATATTTATACAGACTAGCCTGTCATCCACAATGAGAGAACTGTATCAGCTCCGCTTAAAACAGTTGGGGGATCCTTCCATCTTCACCGAACTCTACTTCTGTGGAAGCCTTCACCATCCGGAACGCATCAACAAGATCATGAGTAAGGGATTTTCAGACGAAGGTAAGAGAACTGTGGAAAGAGTGTGGAAGAGTGTGTTCTTTGGATCGAGGCCATGTATTGTTGAAAAGTGGAGAAAAAATGGGATGATGTGTGCTATGGAAATAATGCGGAAGGATGTTTACTGTGAAAGGAATGTGTGTGGGGAGTATAATATGAAAAGGATTGGGAAGGGTGTTTATGTTAGAAATGATGTCAGAGACCATGTGATGTGAAAGGCATGAAGTGAGATGTGAATTGTGGAAAGAATGTGCGAAGATCTATACTGTGGAAAGAATGTGAGGGGGTGTTAACTGTAGAAAGAATGTGGGAGGGTTTCTATTGTGGAATGAATGTGGGAGGGCGTTTACTGTGGAATGAATGTGGGAGGGTGCGTACTGTGAAAAGGATCGTGGGAGGGCGTTTACTGTGGAATGAATGTGGGAGGGTGCATACTGTGAAAAGGATCGTGGGAGGGCGTTTACTGTGGAATGAATGTGGGAGGGCGTCTACTGTGGAATGAATGTGGAAGGATGTGTACTGTGAAAAGGATCGTGGGAGGGCGTTTACTGTGGAATAAATGTGGAAGGGTGTGTACTGTGAAAAGGATTGTGGGAGAGCGTTTACTGTGGAATAAATGTGGGAGGGTGTGTACTGTGAAAAGGATCGTGGGAGGGCGTTTACTGTGGAATGAATGTGGAAGGATGTGTACTGTGAAAAGGATCGTGGGAGGGCGTTTACTGTGGAATGAATGTGGGAGGGTGTGTACTGTGAAAAGGATCGTGGGAGGGCGTTTACTGTGGAATAAATGTGGGAGGGCGTCTACTGTGGAATAAATGTGGGAGGGTGTGTACTGTGAAAAGGATTGTGGGAGGGCGTTTACTGTGGAATAAATGTGGGAGGGTGTGTACTGTGAAAAGGATTGTGGGAGAGCGTTTACTGTGGAATAAATGTGGGAGGGTGTGTACTGTGAAAAGGATTGTGGGAGAGCGTTTACCGTGGAATAAATGTGGGAGGGTGCGTACTGTGAAAAGGATTGTGGGAGAGCGTTTACTGTGGAATGAATGTGGGAGGGAGTTTTCTGTCAAAAGAAAGGTGGAGGGTGTCTACTGTGGGAGGGTGTGTATTGTGGGAAGAATATTGGAGGTATTTACTGTGGTAAAATTTGGATGGTGTGTGTACTATGGAAAGATTGTGAAGGTGTATACTATGGTTTAAACAAGAAGATGTCTACTGAGGAAAGAACATGAGATAAAGTGTACAGCATAAAAGACTTTTGGAGGTTGTTTCTTTTAAAGAATGTTAGGACATGTTTAATGTGGAAAGAATGTGGGGGAGTGTATCATAAACTTTGATATTATCCCACAGTCGCATGATGAAGCTTTATTACTGCACATGGCATTATTCCATGTTGTAGCCTTACTATATTGTGGCATTATACCACAATTCCTTGTTGTAGCTCACTGTGGGACTTACATATTATTATTATCTATATCAGGCTGACTAGAGAAATAACACAATTTTACTTTTGATTTTTGATAATCAAGCAATATTTTATCGACAGTTGAAGTTCCCGGATGACAACTTTGAAATGTAATGTCATCCGAGTACTGCGTTAAGATATCAAATACACTGATTATTGTACCACTTGGAAGCTAAATATAGATGATAATATTCCCTATAATATTAAACACTTCGGCTCATGCATCGTTGATCAATCATCCATGTCAACATTCTGTTCATGCGAAATTTAAGTCATCAAACACTACAATACAGTACCAAGTAGAGTATGAAAATATCTAAATTATTAGATGAGCAATTTAAAATCACATGATTATCATTTTGGACAGTTATTCAAAATATTTCTTTCTTTTACAACCTGCGCGAAGACATCCCTTCACCATTCCATACGCAAGTTGACAATCAGGTAAAATGTGAATGATTATTACCTCATTCTTCTTTTGGTTTACCGGTAAGTGCTAACTAGACAATAGGTAGTTATAATGAAAATGTCTCTAGGGGCACATAAACACTTGTTTTATTTCAAACAACAATGTCTTATTAGTATCAATTTTTGCAATTACAGATACAAAATTGCCTTTATCTTGAGAACTATTGTCACAAGACACAATCATAAATCAAAATGGCAATAAACATGGATTTCTCTCGATGAAGAAACAAAAGGGGCAATTCCAGATGGGCAGTACCAGAATTAAATAGTTTTTGTGCCAAACTTGTGCATGCCATGGATTAATGTTTCATTCTCGCTGATTGATATCCATCATAGTATCAGGTTATATGCAAGGCTCAACATTAACACGCACCCAGGACATGTGGGCGCCCAAAATTCCAGAAAAGTTAGTGTGGAGCCCTATGATATCACATGGCAATTCTACAAATTCCATTTTTGTTCTTATGCTCAAACATCAAAAGATCGTTGGTTACAGGGTTACTCTTAGAATTTAGCATATTCCATGCTTGAAATTGCTAAAATATTATTTTCAATTTAATTATTTTTCATCTTTTTTAGCTTATCCAGTAAAGCTTTGAAAAGCAGTCATTTGCATACAGGGGATGGAATGCAGATGTCTCTGACATACACATATTCCTTTTGTCCATGCCGTTACTATCTCTTTTCTTTACAATAACGTTATGCCTTTGTTCAATAATGATATATATATATATATATATATATATATATATATATATATATATATATATATATATATATATATATATTAAAGAGAGACATAATTGCACATCATTAAGATATGTTATCATATTATTACTGCTATAATAGATTCATTTAAAATTCATTTCATGTTAATTGGCATTTTAGACTTTAATAGACTTTAACATCCACAAATCAAACTTATTCAACTATTGTTGTAGTGTTTTTTGTTATTGTTTTCTGACACCCGGAGTCAGAAGTGCTGTGTCTAAAGTAACATGTGACATTGATTGTCCTTGCCCTTTGCTTTACAAAACCTTCTCAAACTTTCCTTTGTAATGAAAGTAATCCTAGACATATCATTTCTTTACGACCCTCCGATTTGAGGATGACACCATTGTTTCCCCTCACCCCGGCATATATCTCTGCCATGTTCCAGATCTCAGGCGGGTTCATCTAAAACTGGGTTTATAAGTCATCTGACGGGCATCTCAGAAGACAATGAAATCTGACAAGCGCTGCCATGTTTCCTTTCATGTATCTGTCTGACTTTGCAATAATTTGTCATCAACCTGACACATTCTTCAAGCCAGCTATGAATCATCTCGGGGTGCATTCAATCAACACTTTTTCATCCTAGAAAAAGGTTTTCAGAGACGTTTTTAAAACGTGTTTAAAATCGCAAACATTGTATCTCAATCATGATTCTATAACATCATTATTGTGGCCTGCTTCCGGTTTGGCCGACAGTCGACCGTAACAAATTCAGAAAGCACACAGTGAAGTTGACCTATACTTCCTGGGTCAAACTGCACATTGTGATGAGCAGTGGCTGTGTTTTTTAACGGCGTTTTGATTCATGATTCATGTTTGTGATTCTAGCTTCAAAAAATCGCTTGAATGCACCCTTGGTTGTTTGAAGACTGTTCATCTTATGGCAAGCTTATACCAAACTTGTATAAATTTGTATAAAGAAACGTATAGTGAAAGAAGCGTACAGACTCACTAGATAACAACATTGTTCAAAAGAAACATTGGATGAAGAAACTGATTTTTGGCAAGGTTTGTTAACAGGACAGCCTGCCAATTATGAGTATCACTCTCAGCCCTGCCAATTTTTACAATTTTCATACGATACCACGTTCAGACTGGAATGGGACGCTGATTTTTTTTATCAAGTTTTTGTTTGAAACGATACCAAAAAATACTTTTTGATATACAATATTCAGACTTCAAAATTTCAATGATCATATACAGTGAAACCGGCCCATAAAGACCATCCAAGGGAGACAAGAAAAGTGGTCTTTACAGACTGGTGGTCTTTATGTACAGGTTCCTTAAGTACATGTTACAATGAGAAAACCATTTCAAGGGAAACCAAAAATGTGGTCTTTGGTTTGAATGTAGCTATATGATGAATTTTGGAAGTCCGATAGCAGGGTTATTCCCATTTTCCCCAGTTCGGATAGCTTTCAAGAGTACTGAAGCTGGTGATAATCCGTGGTCAGTACTCAGAGATCTTTGAAATTTCAGACAAGTGTGAAGTCCCTTTAATAGGAAATTTGCTAAAGTTTCTCGAGCAGTATGCAAGCCTGCCCTCTTGGTTCAATATCGCATTCGGTGACTTGACCTAAGTCATACTTGGGTCAGACACAGGTCAGACCCAGGTCTGTCATAGATTAGATAATGGTCAGACTTTGACCGATGTCATATAAAGTTGTTCATGTTAAACTTTGTTGGCTTATTCATAATTGCTCTCCACATACCTGGCTTTCATAATGTTTTATTGCATACATGTCATGTCAATCACACTGTACTTTTCTTTCATAAACTTGTTAATTTTGCCTCTATGTGTTTTCTAAATGTTTTATTACTTCAAAATTCAGTCTCGTTGTTAAGCAGAACACAAAGAAAAACAATAAAAACCTCTGTTTGACCATTTTTTTCCTTCTAATTGTGGTAAAGGAGTAATTATGGTCATCACATTAATGTATGTAGCACAAAGGCACTTGCTTTTCTGTCTTCTGATTTAAGAAAAAAGAGAAGTTTCTGTGGTTCAAACTTCCAATCAAAATTTGTATTTTGAGGTGACGACCACATAATACACAGCAGCATTTGTTCAAGGAGACTCAACTTATTGCAATTTCCCACGTCAAAACCACTATTTTGTACTAATAATATAACCGAAATTTTGCTAAACCGTTGTAATACTAATTATCCGGAATATGCTTTGGGTTTACAATACCTTTATATATTCGTGTGAAAGAAGTTATTCGAGAAATGTGGGACAATCATATTCCTTCTCAGCTCTAGTAAATATTAAAGAGGAAGTCCACCCTGATTAATAAATTGG